CACTGGAGGAACATGCAAACTCCAACCAGTAAGTGTCATGGTTGGCTGTGTGGTAGGCGGGCAAGCAGGAGTGGTGGATCCAAAATGCAGGACTCAGACACAGAAGTTCAACTTAAAGCGCAGCTTTAATGCTGGAAAACCTCTAACTAAACTCACCAAAAGACAAACAAAAACACTGGTGGACTAAAACACTGAAGCACAAAACACTGAACTGGAAACAAAACACTGGCAACACTGAGGCAAAACACACAGCTTGTTGAGGGTACGACGCAACACTGACTCAGAGAAACACAGGGTCTAAATACACTGGGAAGTAACGAGGAGAATGAGACACAGAAGGAGAGCACAGCTGGGGGAAATTAGAACTGACGAGACAAGCAAAGCAGGACACATTCACATAAGTCACGGACCTTCAAAGTAAAACAGGAAGGATCACACAGAGACGCGAACTTGACACCGTGGAGACAGCAACTAAGAAACACAGAGACATAAACCATAAGGCAGAGGACTCTAAGAACCGAGAGACACAAACATGCAGACACGGACTTACACAGAACAGAGGGCACATAGAGAAACATGAAGGGCAAGGGATAGAAACTAGAAACCATAGCATAACTCACACCAAGTACAATAATACAAAACCCACAAAGAACTAAAATGCTGGGTCAGGAGACCCAGGACCCTGACAGTACCCTCCCCCCAAGGGCTGGCTCCCGACAGCCCAACACAAGAAAACGAGAAAAAAAAAAAAAAAAAAAAAAAAAAAAAAAAAAAAAACGAAAACCGCCGAAAACAGAAAACAACCCGACCAGGGCGGGCGGCGGGGGTCCAGGAAGGAGGGCACGAAACAAAAACACAGAAGCATAAGAAAGCCCAAAAACAAAACACGAGTCCAAAACAGAAGAGTTCAGGGGGCCGGCCAGGGGGCCGACAGCACAGGAGGCCAAAACAGGTCAGGGGGCCGGCCGTGCGGAAGCCAACGGCGGCGACGACGAAGGAGACGACGGAGCCGGTCCGGGGGCCGGCCGCGCGGAAGGCAGCGGCGGCGACTCAGGCGATCCGGGCCAGGCGAAGCACAGGCTGAAGACACGGAGGCTGGGCCAGGCGAGGCTGAAGACACGGAGGCTGGGCCAGGCGAGGCTGAAGACTCGGATGAAGCTGGACCAGACGAGGGTGAAGACTCGGATGAAGCTGGACCAGACGAGGATGATGAAGCTGGACCAGACGAGGATGATGAAGCTGCAGCAGGAGGCTGGACGGGCTCCTCGGACCCTCCAGCGGAGACAGGAGACGAAGGCCGGAGCGGTCCCTCGGACCCTCCAGCGGAGACAAGAGACGAAGGCCGGAGCGGTCCCTCGGACCCTCCAGTGAAGACAGGAGACGAAGGCCGGAGCGGTCCCTCGGACCCTCCAGCGGAGACAGGAGACGAAGGCCGGAGCGGTCCCTCGGACCCTCCAGCGGAGACTAGAGACGAAAGCCGGAGCGGTCCCTCGGACCCTCCAGCAGAAGCCACCACTAAGCCAGCAGTCATGGAGTCCTCTGGCAAACACGAAGGCAACTGGCGATGCACTGAGCACTGGCTCTGCCCAGGCAACGCTGACATGGTGCAGTTCTCAGGTGGCTGCATAGACTTCAGGGATCCAGAATCAGCTGGGGACTGAGACCTAGCCTCTGGGGAAGCCCTGGAGCAGCAAACTGTGCCAATGGCGGCTGAACCATGAAAAGCACCTTGAGATGAAATTAAACTTTCTCCCTGCATGGAGTGAATGAGCGAAACCGGTGATACTGGAGCCAGAGCTACGGGTAGCGGGGGCACTGGAGCTACTGGGGCCTGCGCGACAGGCGGCACTGGAGCCACTGGAGACTGAGCTGAAACAGGCACTGGAGACTGAGCTGAAACAGGCACTGGAGACTGAGCTGAAACAGGCACTGGAGACTGAGCTGAAACAGGCACTGGAGACTGAGCTGAAACAGGCACTGGAGACTGAGCTGAGGGAGGCTGCGGGGCAGGTGACACTGGTGTACTGGGGTGAAGGCAACGAGGATGCAGTCCCTCTCTTAAGGGAGGATGGAATGATTTAGTGATAAGGCTTGATGGGAACAGATGCTGATGCTGAGAATACCAGGCAGCGAGGGCTTCCAGGAGGGTAGCTGACCCTTCCTTGCCTGGACCGCCCATGCCAAACAGTTCGAAGCACATCCTGGCTCTCAGAGCTGTTATTAGTTGTTTTAATCTGTTAATGTCCAAAAAACCAGCTGTGCAGAGGGTGGAAGACAAAAAGTTGTCGAAAAAGACCACCTGAAGGAGTCTCTTGGGGGTGTCCTCAGCGTGGATTACTTCCCGGCAGTAATTCCACAACTGCGCGAAATACTGAGACCGTGAGTCCGCAGGATCCATTTGATGGTTGCGTCGTTCTGTCATGGTTGGCTGTGTGGTAGGCGGGCAAGCAGGAGTGGTGGATCCAAAATGCAGGACTCAGACACAGAAGTTCAACTTAAAGCGCAGCTTTAATGCTGGAAAACCTCTTACTAACTAAACTCACCAAAAGACAAACAAAAACGCTGGTGGACTAAAACACTGAAGCACAAAACACTGAACTGGAAACAAACCACTGGCAACACGGAGGCAAAACACACACAGCTTGTTGAGGGTACGACGCAACACTGACTCAGAGAAACACAGGGTCTAAATACACTGGGAAGTAACGAGGAGAATGAGACACAGAAGGAGAGCACAGCTGGGGGAAATTAGAACTGACGAGACAAGCAAAGCAGGACACATTCACATAAGTCACGGACCTTCAAAGTAAAACAGGAAGGATCACACAGAGACGCGAACTTGACACCGTGGAGACAGCAACTAAGAAACACAGAGACATAAACCATAAGGCAGAGGACTCTAAGAACCGAGAGACACAGAGGGGAACCCAAACATGCAGACACGGACTTACACAGAACAGAGGGCACATAGAGAAACATGAAGGGCAAGGGATAGAAACTAGAAACCATAGCATAACTCACACCAAGTACAATAATACAAAACCCACAAAGAACTAAAACGCTGGGTCAGGAGACCCAGGACCCTGACAGTAAGGCCCCAAACAGCTGTTTGATTCAAATTCAGCACTGTAACTGAGTAACATTAAACTTCTTATAGGCTTGAAATTTCATATTTCAAAACTGCAGGAAATTACTGGATAAATGCTTCCCACAGTAGGGGTTCAGTCTGGATTTAGCCTGCTTTCTTTGTAGATGAGAAGCTTGAGTGTCAGTTTGAAGGTTTCTGCTTTGGCTCCTTGTTCAGATGCTGGGTGCTCTCAGTCGGTACTAAAAAGGTATCCAGTTGGTATCCGGGGCTATGGCTCCCCACACCCTCTAGCAGATCATTACACGAAGGAACCTTTTAAATACAAGCGCGCTCATGCTCACAGGTGTACACACGGGTGCTCACAGACACAAACTACACCCTTTTTGGCTCCTACTTCTCCTCCTGTGTGCTGTCAATCCTACGTGCTGCACAATAATAATTAATATTTAGTATTTACTGTTATATTCACATAGATCATCGCAATGATGTTGTTTATTATATTGCTCTCTCTTTTTTGCTTGTTTTCTCTTTTGTCTTTCTCAACAGGTGATCCAGGTGATTGATATATGTATTTTTTGTCTGTTTGTTTTGTTGGTTTTTGTTTTTTGCCCTTTATCATCATTCCTCTTCCCCGCTGTTTTTCTTTCCCTCGTTCTTTCTCCCTTTTCTTTCCCCCAGTCATGTCTGTCCCGTGTGTAGTAAGCGAAAATAAAATAAAATAAACAATAAAAGCAAAGGTGAGTCAAATAGACCAATACGGCAAGGCCGGGATGGTCCATTTGGTCAAGTAATTCTGTTGGGCATCTTTCTTTGCCTTTAGATGATAATTCTGATGGCAAAAGAACCAAACGGGACAGGGGAAAAAAAAAAGGTATCCAGTTGTTTTGTGCGTCAGAACAGTTTTCCAAAGGCTGCTGTTGTCACTGGCCATCGGGTAAATGCAGAACAAACAGGATTCATTTGAGGAGTAAAGTCAATGTGCACTCAAACCAAATGTCTTCAGTAAATTAATTCAGGAGAAAAAAATTTGTTCATTTGATAAGAAGTTTATCATTCAACAAGGAAGAAGGAAGAAGAACGGTATAAAATTCTGTCAATGCCACAATGTGCATGTAAATAAAAGTTAATTTTGTCTTTCTCAGGACTCTGCAGGCAGTCGGAAAAAAGATGCAAATGAGGGAAAAGCTCTGATGGGTTCTAAAATGAAAGTTAAATTAGTGTAGTTGCGTGCAGGATCATAAGTACTAGAGTTTTTGGAAAGTTGAGTAAACTATGATTATATTATCGTGTTATATTATTATTATTACACTACAATTCTGGCTCTGTTTGAGGAGCGGTGCTCCAAAAAACTTGGTGTAGTCCCTCTGCTCTTTTAAGATATGAACTCGTGAATCTCCACTCATGTTCTGGTGATACAGACAGTTTTTAAAGCATTTATTGTGTAGTGGTTTGCACATTAGCTTAGAAAGTAAAAGGTTCCAGGGTCAGTTCCAGCCACAGACAGGTTAGGAAGGGCATCTGGCGTAAAACTGCCCAATCAAACATGTGGAGCTTGCTGTGGTGACCCCTCGTGAATACGGAAGCAGCTGTTGCTTGGGTTTTTCATTTGTCCTGTCTCCTGTAGTGCAGCCTTTGTTTCATCCACTTTGATCAGGGCCTGTTCACACGGACGGAGATGAAACTCATCGTTTTGCACCGTTTAACAACTTACAGCATCCAGGTGGAGTCAGTCAGCGGCTCTAGTATCTAAAAAATGTAAACTTTTAACAGAAAGAAGGCTATTTAGTCCTGCATATCATCGCACAATGAAGCTAAAAAGGTGCTACCAGTCTGTAACATTTGTTCTTGGCACTTTTTAGCCATGATAGTGGGTCCATATAACGCACGACTGTATACACTTACTTTCTTTTAGAAGATGTTCCAGTGAGAGTGAGGGCTGCCAGGTATGAGTCAGAACAACCCCTGTTTGTGGAAACAGCTCCCCCTGAGAAGCAGCCTGTCCCCGTGCGACCGCTACAAGCACGCCTGCTGCAGCTACAATGCAAACGTCTACGTCCTGGGAGGCAGAGAGAACAGATGTCTGAGGGACTTCTGGAAATACAACGTGGGTAAGGGCCCCCATCCATTAATAGCCATGCATATATAAAGATGCAGATCTATATAAAGACGGATGACAGAATACTTCCTTAGAAGCGATATCCTTGTGGCTGGTTGCAGAATAGCCACTAGAAAGACCTCTTTTTAAGAATTACATATTAGGCAGAGTAGCCAAAAACCATGTTCAGGTACTCATTTACATAAAGCCCTCTCTTCAAATGACCAATTAGTCTACTACTTAAAACAGCACAAAAGAAACAGACAAATGTTATGACTTAACACTTTGATCTTCACTAAGATCTGTCCTTTCAGGTATGGTTATGATCACCTCCTGCTCTGCCCTGGTGAAGGCTACAATGCTTCAAATCTCCATCTTTTATATGCAGTCTTTTATTAAAAGATAGCACCAACTATTCCTATGGTATTTGGGCAACGCCTTTGTGCAGATGTAGAAAGTGTTGCAAGTTGTTCAAGTTTATATACACACTGTCATTCATGAAAAAAGATGCAACATTTATTCCACTTAAACTTTGCAAAGGATGTTTTTTGCTGCATTCTTATAAAACAGCCTCCTGTAATATTCTTTTTGTAATCATCAGTTAACAACACTGCTGTGTTCAATATTTCAGTGTCTGATGAATGGACCGAGTTGAGCTGCAGTGGTGAAGCGGCACCAGAGGAGCTAGAGGGACATTCTATGGTAGCTCACAAGGTACCTTCAATTTCTTTAATCATTGGACATAAAGCAGAGAGACCATCTTATGACAGCGGTGGGCATGCAGAGTATGTTTAACAGCTTTGAACTTTTCAGGGTTTCCTGTACGTGTTTGGAGGCCTGTTGGACTCTGCATACACCACATGCAGATGTGCTCTCTGGGTGTTTGACATCGGTGAGTTTCACTGCAGTGCAGCATGGGCTGGCAGCCAGTCACACTACTGTTGTAGTCAATTCTCAGGCTCAGCAGGTAAAACATGTTGCTGCATGTCGATCCTCCTAATCCCTGTAAAACGTTTCATTCCTCTGTGTCACTAAAGCTGAGAGAGAAACCTGAGAGGGTCTCCATGCTCATAACCTCACGACTCTAAAGACAATTAGAAACAACATAAGAAAAGGTGATTTACCCCAACACATATTTATCAAATGGAGGAAAACTGCAGCTGTGTTCATTTCCTGCTCTAACACTTCCTGTGTTCTTCACTTCAGCTCAGTTTTTATTCTGCTTGTTCCAACATAACCTAAATTCCATCTCATGCACAGTTTTTTTCAATTCTCACCACTTATTGTATATAAAATCATATCACATCTGTAAAAAGCCCCCGAAACGCCCACCCTCAAAATCAATTGGTTCTTTTGTTTTCATAAGAACTACAATATGTTTAATGAAGCAATTGTTTTACACAATTGTTACATTTTACCGAACTTGGATATTTTTAGAAGTATAAGCTCTTGAAGTTTTCGTTCCACTCCAAGTGTCACGATGTAAAGAAAAATCTAGTTTTTGTTCAGCATGATGGGATCTGTCATGACTTGCATAAAATGCAGCAGTTTCATTTCTTTGACATAGAGCAACAGAGACAAGCATTGAAAAAGTGCATTCTGGGTAAACTTTCAAGGTTAACATCCTTGGATGGATAGGTCAATGTAGCGATAGCTGTGGAGTGGAGAAACAACACTGGTGTTACCGCAATCTCAATAATAGTTAGGACAGATCACACTGATCAAAGCAAGTTATGGTCCTGAAGATGTTTTTCTAAGTTCGAATCTCAATTGAGTTGAAGGTCAAGGTCAGGGGTCAACTTCTCTTAAAATCACCTATGCTAGGAAGCGGACAGGTAGCACAGGTAGCTGGTGGTATTTTTAAATATGTTATTTATTAAAAATATTTTGCCTGGTTACATTTAAGCATTAAAAACGACAGGATTAGGTTTAAAACTGTCTTGGTTTAGGTTAAAATATAACATTTACCACGTCTTTTAAAGCCTCTCTACTTTGGCCAACTGGACAGTTTGTGTCCCTGTAACAATAGATTTCATAAGACTGGGCTGCACAACAGTGTGTGTCAGTGTATTTCAGAATTATTGCAGAAGTGCCTCTCCTCTTTGTATGTTAGCCTTTACTTACTTTTTTTTGTCTTGGAGTAAGGCTGACAGATGTTGTAAAGATATCATATCCATTTTATTGTACGTCACTCTTTTAGTTTAATTTTCTTGTGTCATTTGTGTTTCAGCAAAGCAGAAGTGGGTGCAGTGGCAGGGAAAGAGGAGCTTGCTTCAGGTACCGAGTGCTTTTCATATCTAAATGATAACATGTTCTCTGTCTATAGAAAACAATCAGATGGTTAGATCTCATTATCAGCTTATAACAGAAATAATTAACCGCTCAGTCCTCGTGTGCTGCCGTTTGTTTTGTGTCACGCAGTCACAACACTTGGAAGCACATCAGTGAACACTGTGCACAGTTCCTGCCATCCTTTGCTTGTTTTAGCTTGTATCAGCAGAACAGAAGTCACACACTACCCACATATTTGTTAGAACTTTAAAGGTCAAATAAATTGATTTGCAGTGTTTCCCCACAGAATGGATATAGCTAAGTAGGAAGAGGATCACCAAAGTAGGAAGAGAAAGGTTAGGGTTAGGTTGAAGAAGCCCAAATTTAATGCATTTTTTGTGACTGTTCAATCAAGGTCATAGAAGTAGCTTACCATCTATTCTAAATGTATTTCTCTCTCTTTCTGTGTGCAGACCCAAATGCCGACCAACAGGAAGGGCCACAGCACCGTGGTGCTCGGCTCTGCCATGCTCATGTACGGAGGATTCATTGACATGAAAGGCACCTCCCAGGATTTCTGGAGTTTGGACTTTAGTGAGTTTAAAACTGACAAAAGGGAGAATTCAGTCAGCTCCTTCCATATAAAACTAACCAAATCTTAAAATTCCCACCTCACACCCTCAAAATCAGCTGACCTTTTATGGTATTTGCCAGAGTTACTATCAAAAGATTAATTGTAGCTTTTGTTCAGCATGATTTTTCTATAAGCAACTTTGAGCATTAATATAATGGGATAGATCATAAGTTCAGTAAACTGCATCAGTTTAGTCCCACTTGATGCCAAGCTCATCTTCTAGCTGTGATTCCATCTTGGTCAATATAATTTTATAAACTGCTCATATTTACCAGTGTGAATGTAGTTTATAGCTGTGAGATGGAGAAACAAATTGACAATTAAACTGAGCTGAACCGTTTCTAGGAGTGAAATCTCACCCATATTCAGTTAGAGGGCAGCATGTGAACATCATCAGCATTGTGACACATGCAAACACAATGTGAGCTGCAGAATGAGCATTAATTATAGATACTTGTTTGTGTGTGTGTTAATGGCAGATACCATGTCTTGGTCCCTGCTGAGTGGCTCTCAGCAGGACTCATTAGGCCCAGGCCCCAGACACAGTCACTCAGCTATAGCCTATCAGGGCTGCGTGTACCTGTTCGGAGGCTTAAAAGGTTTACGGGAGCAGAGAGACTTCTGGAAGTGGAATTCCAGCAGCCAGACATGGAGTTCACTCAAGTAAGTGCAGAGTTTGTCTGTATTTTTGAAAACTGGATGCAGTGAAAAAGATCAGTCTCGACATTAAAACCACTGACAGGTAGTGATGGGCAAACTGAGACATACAAAGTCGTTGTGCCAGCACTGGATCATGGTTTCAAAACAATTTCACAGCCATCTCCACAGCGACACCTGCTGGCTGCTTTTGTGTCAGTACTTGAACAGGCTATTCTGTGAAACAACACAGACAAGCATTGCAGATTTCTAGACAAATCTACATGTTATACCAGACTATCAATAGTTATGATCAATACATGTTTTGGAGAACTTCCTTTACAACAAAATAAGAAATACTTTGGAATGGTTAAAGACAGCGATGACTGCAATGAACTCTGTGTTTCAGCATTTTGCTGTGGTTGTGTTAACGTACATGAGGCTGTTTCAGTTACTTACTAATTCAGTGCAATACAAAACAAGCCAGTTTGTAAATAATGTATACTGAAAATAGCTGCTCTGTTCATCATGATGTCCACACAAGGTCTGTGGATTTGACTGCGGCTCATTTTGTAAATAGGTTAAGTAGAGGCCCCAATATCATTTATTCTCTTTGTGACTGAATATAGCTAATTACACTTATGGAAAATGAATAAAATAAGAGAAAAATGAAGCAATACTGTCTACATTTGTCATATGCAAAGATTTTTATTCACGACATTTTGAGTCTTTTTGGTTTTTCAGCTATTCTTAGGTGAGTCAGATGTTTTTTCATTATTATTAACTGACATCCCTAACCTTGGAAAAAGTCCATTCACGAGGCACACTTATTGCAGGTATACATAAGTCTTTTTTGCCATGATATAAAGGTGTGAATATGTAACACATCACTCCTGTGAATATACTACTGGATCATATGCCCCTTGAAGGAATTCATCTCTGTGGGTTTCACTAACCTGGCTGTCAAAAAGTTCTATGTTTTTTTAATCCTGTGCTGTGGTTATTGTTTTTGCTGCTGCTGACTCTTAAGCTTTCTGGGAGTTTTTACTATCATTATATTTGGTCTACACTCTGACAATAAAACCTAGAAGCTGTAGGTAAGCCGCCTGTTGAAACTATAGTTAAATGCACCAGCAATGAACCCAGACCCAGAGTCATTCTAAATTAGCTCACACTGGCTCTTACAGATGGTCAGCCTCTAAAAAACACAACTTTGCTCATTAGCTTTTTCAATTTAGGCCCAGTTTATACAGGGAGTGCAGAATTATTAGGCAAGTTGTATTTTTGAGGGATAATTTTATTATTGAACAACAACCATGTTCTCAATGAACCCAAAAAACTCATTAATATCAAAGCTGAATGTTTTTGGAAGTAGTTTGTAGTTTGTTTTTAGTTTTAGCTATTTTAGGGGGATATCTGTATGTGCAGGTGACTATTACTGTGCATAATTATTAGGCAACTTAACAAAAAACAAATATATACCCATTTCAATTATTTATTTTTACCAGTGAAACCAATATAACATCTCCACATTCACAAATATACATTTCTGACATTCAAAAACAAAACAAAAACAAATCAGCGACCAATATAGCCACCTTTCTTTGCAAGGACACTCAAAAGCCTGCCATCCATGGATTCTGTCAGTGTTTTGATCTGTTCACCATCAACATTGCGTGCAGCAGCAACCACAGCCTCCCAGACACTGTTCAGAGAGGTGTACTGTTTTCCCTCCTTGTAAATCTCACATTTGATGATGGACCACAGGTTCTCAATGGGGTTCAGATCAGGTGAACAAGGAGGCCATGTCATTAGTTTTTCTTCTTTTATACCCTTTCTTGCCAGCCACGCTGTGGAGTACTTGGACGCGTGTGATGGAGCATTGTCCTGCATGAAAATCATGTTTTTCTTGAAGGATGCAGACTTCTTCCTGTACCACTGCTTGAAGAAGGTGTCTTCCAGAAACTGGCAGTAGGACTGGGAGTTGAGCTTGACTCCATCCTCAACCCGAAAAGGCCCCACAAGCTCATCTTTGATGATACCAGCCCAAACCAGTACTCCACCTCCACCTTGCTGGCGTCTGAGTCGGACTGGAGCTCTCTGCCCTTTACCAATCCAGCCACGGGCCCATCCATCTGGCCCATCAAGACTCACTCTCATTTCATCAGTCCATAAAACCTTAGAAAAACCAGTCTTGAGATATTTCTTGGCCCAGTCTTGACGTTTCAGCTTGTGTGTCTTGTTCAGTGGTGGTCGTCTTTCAGCCTTTCTTACCTTGGCCATGTCTCTGAGTATTGCACACCTTGTGCTTTTGGGCACTCCAGTGATGTTACAGCTCTGAAATATGGCCAAACTGGTGGCAAGTGGCATCTTGGCAGCTGCACGCTTGACTTTTCTCAGTTCATGGGCAGTTATTTTGCGCCTTGGTTTTTCCACACGCTTCTTGCGACCCTGTTGACTATTTTGAATGAAACGCTTGATTTTTCGATGATCATGCTTCAGAAGCTTTGCAATTTTGAGACTGCTGCATCCCTCTGCAAGATATCTCACTATTTTTGACTTTTCTGAGCCTGTTAAGTCCTTCTTTTGACCCATTTTGCCAAAGGAAAGGACGTTGCCTAATAATTATGCACACCTGATATAGGGTGTTGATGTCATTAGACCACACCCCTTCTCATTACAGGGATGCACATCACCTAATATGCTTAATTGGTAGTAGGCTTTCGAGCCTATACAGCTTGGAGTAAGACAACATGCATGAAGAGGATGATGTGGACAAAATACTCATTTGCCTAATAATTCTGCACTCCCTGTAGCTGTATTGTCCTAATCGCTCCAGCAGTTTAGCAAATTACAAGCTTGCTACATTGCTTTTCATTTTTTAAGTTAAAGTACTTTTTGCTTCCTAATGTTTCTTTATTCACATTTTTTTTTACCTGTGTTTTAATTTGTGAAACTATATTTTAGTTGTAATTTATTTATTTTTTTAGTTTTGCTTTTAAAGAACTTTGTGTTTCAAATCAAGAAACTAATTTGCTTCAGATGATTTAAATGATTTATTCCAGATAGAGTGGTGTAATGCAGAGTAATGAGGCGTGGTGTTCATGGCAAATTGTAAAGGGTGAGAAATGAGTCAAACCTTGTAAAACAAATGCAGTTTTTAGCATAAAGAGTAAAGCAAAGAGCAGGAGGAACATAAAGGGAAGGTCAAGACTCACGAGAAAACTTGACAAGCAGTCTGTTGCAGCTCCTCATCTGAATATTCCCACATAACACAACATGGCAGAAGAACCTGATCCAGTTGATGAGACAGAGAATCCTTCAGCAGCGGCTGAAAAGACTGGGATCACTTTTCAGCCGCTGCTGACAGGCTGACATGTGAGGTGGAAACACTGATTGTAGTGTGTCTGTTGAAAAAAAAAAGGAAAGAAAGAGTCCTGAGGAACCGTCTCTTTAATGGTTTAGTAATACGTAAATTTATGTATATAAAGAGCTTCAGATCACTGAGATTTACATCTGGAGACTTGTTTTTCTTTTGTTGTTTTTTTTGTTCTGGATGACTGAATATGTTACATGTAAAGACTTGTGGATTGATTCGTCTGGCGTTATGAACATGAACAGCAGTTTATCAGGACTAATGATTAGCCGGTCAGTAGCATAGTCAGGACTAACGTCACTTGTTTTTGCCCCCTGAGGCACAGGTATCATACAGCAAATGGAAAAAAAACAGACAGACAGTGTGACCCTAATAACACAATGTTACTGGAAGGTCTTGTGATTTCTAATGGTGATAACCTGACTTTGTAGGTTGTAAACCGTTACAGTTACATTTAAGTAAAGTCTGAGAAAAATATGAGAGCTTAAGATGCAGATGTAATTGTTTGTTTCTCACCTCCCCTCCAAACTTTCTCTGGTTGGTTTAGAGGCGTTTTATGGCAGGGTTCCTGAAATGAACTGACTGAGTGCTGCCAACTTACAGTGGGGCAAAAAAGTATTTAGTCAGCCACCGATTGTGCAAGTTCCCCCACCTAAAATGATGACAGAGGTCAGTAATTTGCACCAGAGGTACACTTCAACTGTGAGAGACAGAATGTGAAAAAAAAAATCCATGAATCCACATGGTAGGATTTGTAAAGAATTTATTCGTAAATCAGGGTGGAAAATAAGTATTTGGTCAATAACAGAAATACAACTCAATACTTTGTAACATAACCTTTGTTGGCAATAACAGAGGTCAAACGTTTACTATAGGTCTTTACCAGGTTTGCACACACAGTAGCTGGTATTTTGGCCCATTCCTCCATGCAGATCTTCTCGAGAGCAGTGATGTTTTGGGGCTGTCGCCGAGCAACACGGACTTTCAACTCCCGCCACAGATTTTCTATGGGGTTGAGGTCTGGAGACTGGCTAGGCCACTCCAGGACTTTCAAATGCTTCTTACGGAGCCACTCCTTTGTTGCCCGGGCGGTGTGTTTTGGATCATTGTCATGTTGGAAGACCCAGCCTCGTTTCATCTTCAAAGTTCTCACTGATGGAAGGAGGTTTTGGCTCAAAATCTCACGATACATGGCCCCATTCATTCTGTCCTTAACACGGATCAGTCGTCCTGTCCCCTTGGCAGAAAAACAGCCCCATAGCATGATGTTTCCACCCCCATGCTTCACAGTAGGTATGGTGTTCTTGGGATGCAACTCAGTATTCTTCTTCCTCCAAACACGACGAGTTGAGTTTATACCAAAAAGTTCTACTTTGGTTTCATCTGACCACATGACATTCTCCCAATCCTCTGCTGTATCATCCATGTGCTCTCTGGCAAACTTCAGACGGGCCTGGACATGCACTGGCTTCAGCAGCGGAACACGTCTGGCACTGCGGGATTTGATTCCCTGCCGTTGTAGTGTGTTACTGATGGTGACCTTTGTTACTTTGGTCCCAGCTCTCTGCAGGTCATTCACCAGGTCCCCCCGTGTGGTTCTGGGATCTTTGCTCACCGTTCTCATGATCATTTTGACCCCACGGGATGAGATCTTGCGTGGAGCCCCAGATCGAGGGAGATTATCAGTGGTCTTGTATGTCTTCCATTTTCTGATGATTGCTCCCACAGTTGATTTTTTTCACACCAAGCTGCTTGCCTATTGTAGATTCACTCTTCCCAGTCTGGTGCAGGTCTACAATACTTTTCCTGGTGTCCTTCGAAAGCTCTTTGGTCTTGGCCATGGCGGCGTTTGGAGTCTGACTGTTTGAGGCTGTGGACAGGTGTCTTTTATACAGATGATGAGTTCAAACAGGTGCCATTCATACAGGTAACGAGTGGGGGACAGAAAAGCTTCTTACAGAAGACGTTACAGGTCTGTGAGAGCCAGAGATTTTCCTTGTTTGAGCTGACCAAATACTTATTTTCCACCCTAATTTACGAATAAATTCTTTACAAATCCTACCATGTGGATTCATGGATTTTTTTTTTCACATTCTGTCTCTCACAGTTGAAGTGTACCTCTGGTGCAAATTACTGACCTCTGTCATCATTTTAAGTGGGGGAACTTGCACAATCGGTGGCTGACTAAATACTTTTTTGCCCCACTGTAATTCAAAGACATTATCAGAGGTGCACGTCACAGAAATCACTGAGCATTAGAGCTCTGAAACTGATGAAGGAGACTTGGAAATCAAGTTTGCATCCAGATCAAAGGGAAATTTTACTGTCTGCATATTCTTGGTGACAAACGTACCACAAATAGACTCACTGTTTTTCTAATCTGTGATATATCAGCTTTAATTCCCAAAGTGTGAAAAGAGCTTTGGCAAAAGGAAAGGAAAAAGGGGGCAGGAAGCTTGTAGTGTCTGCTGTGACACACAGATGTATCTGCAGTCAGTTTTTTGGTGTCCTCAAAACACACGAGTCAGTATTAAACTCAACACCTCACTTTAAGATGTTTTTCCACAGATCATTTGCCTCACCCTTCTTTTGTGTCCTCAGTTCCTCTCTTAGCGTATTAGTCTTAGCCCCTCCCTACCACAGAGAGCAGAGGAGGCAAGGAAGAGACACAAGGAGAGGAGTCAAGGCAGCTGGTGTTCAACAAAAAGAGATGTCCGTCCTTCAGGGCCTCCTTTAAATACGATGAGTGACACATCTGTCAGAAATAGATTTATCATCCCAGGTTTAACAGTGCAAATGATGTGTTTTATATCCAGGGGTAATTTTAATAAAGTAACATGGCACAACACGCCATATAGAAATATTATCACACATACGATCACACATGGATCAGCAGATTATCGATTACAGCTCCTGGTGCTCCCAGCACTTCCTGTCTGACCGGTCTGTTTAGCTCTGATGTTTTTAGCACTGACTGCTGAACTTATTTGGCATCATTTGGTGTGCTCTTTCCTGCTAACACCACCTGTGGTTGTTTTTCTCAGGTACGGCCCTCCTAAACTCACAGGACACTCAGCTGTCGCCTATAAAGACTCAATGCTCCTTTTCGGTGGAGGCGAGACCCAGGACTCTCCAAAGAACTGCCTGTGGAGATACAGCTTCATCACTCAGACCTGGATGCAGCTCACCACACTCCCGGGCTCCAACCCCCCAGACAAGATTCACCATTGCTGCACTGGTCTGGGTCCCAGCTACAAAACCAGTAGCACCAGCAAGAGCTTCTGCTCAGACTCAGGACTCCAGCCCAGGTTACTGGGAGGGAAACTCAAGCCGTTTAAGAACAAGTGCTTCCCAGCACCAGATAACGCTATAGAGCTGGAGACTTTCACTCCAGACAGAGAAGCCAACAGAAGTTCTTCAGAACTGGAGACCAGCAGAGAGGCCTTAATAGAGATAGATGGTCAGCGTATTGGAAGCTGCCTGACATTTGAGAACAAAGCATTCATGAAACAATGGAGCTGCTCAGAGGAGGAGGCGCTGGAGGACAAGGATGGAGACATCACTCAGCATCTGCCCGACCTGCTGCTGGTGCTCGGCGGAAAACCTTGTACGAGAACCAGCCCCATCTCCATGTGGCAGGTGACGATAATTGACTGAATAAACGATTCTGTTCTCTGTGCGAGAAGCAGGTTTTAATAGGTGTTACTAGCTTTCTGTGAAAAAGAAAACAACATGAAATATTTTTATACTTTTGTACAGTTTCAGTGTTTTGATTTTTACATTTTTTGCAACATTCAAGTAAATTTTGGGGAAATGGCATTAGCATGAGCTGTGTCCTGTTAACAGTGAATGTGAAAAAACACAGTATCTGTTCTGTGTATCTGTTTATAGTTTCTGTAAGAACAGGGAAGGTATTGGAATCAGATCTTTAGTGAGCATCAGCCCAGAATTTCACAGTCATTTATTCCTGTATTAATAAAGACAGAATAGTGCATTTTTATTCTTGGTTGTACTCCCATTGTACACTTCATTAGGTACACCATGCTACCACCAGGGTGGACCTACTTTAGTTAATTGTTCATGGCACAGATTCACCCAAGTTTCTGCAAACATTCCTCAGAGATTTTGTTCCACATTGACATGACAGCATCACACAGTGGCTGTACAGTGAACTCATTGTCATCTTCATGATACCAGATACCAGATATGTGGCACATCATGTTATCCTGCTGGAAGCAGCCATCAGAAGATGGATACACTGTGGTCATACAGATAGGCAACAGCTATACTCAGGTATCTAATGAACTGAAAAAAGAGCAAAACAGAAATAAATGAAAAATAAGCATTATTTAATTAACATTAAAATAAGTATTTGCAGTGTAAGAAGGCTTTGGAGTGTCTGTATTTACCATTGGTACTTACTGAGGCAGGGACATCTAAAGAGTGAGTCAGCTCTTTGTGTTGTGATGGATTATTTTATTCTTCTGACCTCCTTAAATCTGTCCACGATCAATACCACACATCACATGAGACAGAACAGCTAATCTAAAGCTGAACACTTTCAAACAAAAAATCAACTGTAATGAGCAAACCTGCTAAGAAATACTCATTCAAAATACACAAACTCCCTTCAGGTGGTGCCAACAAAGGTGAACGTGTGTCTGAGTGAGTTAAGAATATTTCTACTCGAGTAAAAAATATTTGAAATTGTGTTGCATTCGTTCGTCAGCTGAGCTTCTCCCATAGCTCCTTTTAAAATGACCAAAATTGTTTCATTTATGTTCTCATATTTTTATAGAAATATAGCTTCATGACAGAAATTCTTACCTGTTCTATGAAAAGGACATTTAAACAATTCCCATCTGTTACTTCTTACAAAACAACTTCTTTGTTTTAATAAAAGTACAAAAAGTAAACTGAACGTATGTTTGAGTGAATTACAGTATGCTTATATTATTTAAGATGGCGACTGTGCAATACTTTGATAAACAACATATTGCACTGGAGACCTCACAGTCAGACTCTTTGTTACCTCCATGCTTTACTTTCAAACTAAATCCAAACATCTGGGCTGCAGATGTGGAAGATCGGCAAGATTTTTGACAGAAACAGAAAATCTATAGATCACTCAAATATCTGAAGAGTGTCAAAGTCATACCAAATTCTCTAAAAGGATTCTTTTTTTTTTCAAATAAAAAGTATTGCAAAAGTACATCGAAATGTCACCTAAAGGTCAGTGAGGAATATTAGTGAGTTGTAAAATAATAGTGTGCTGAGTGCGTCCTTATGCCAGGACACAAACTTAACAAAAACAAAAAGGAAATTGTGATAAAACTTCGAAACACTGAACCTGCCCGCTGATCAGCTCCTCTTACTGACCCCACAGCTGTGACCGTTTGGAAATGTTTTCACCTGCTCAGAAATTTGAACACGGGTCAGCCTGACAATCTTCTAAATCTGTTTGAAGTGCAATCAACGAATGCTTTCACCTAACAGTAATGTCAGCACACTACACAAGAGGGCGCCACATCTCCACAGACTCCATCAACGAGCTCCAGAAGATGAACTGCTTACCTATGTCTGTTTTCACTTCTGACTAAAAATCCCTTTGGACTCACAGATGGGTTTGATTTCATCTTTTTAAAAAAAACAAAAAACGTGTGTCTGTTTTTAAAAAGAACTGTCGTTTACATCATGAATTCATGGCTGTTTAAAGGGGATTGAGCAGGTCATGAAAATCTGAAGTTTTTATTACATTAGATGCAAATATTGTCACCGAGGGGCTCCCGTACCTTCACTGTAACTGATGTAGTTTGTACAATGGTGCTGTTGTGTCCTGTTTGCTGTCTGTGCTTTATTTTTTGAGTAATGTGTAACACTTTAATGTAACTGCCTCAGAGTTACTGGATGTCTAAAAAGATCTCTATATGACCATTGGCGCTTTATTGCACTGAACTTTTATGACTTTTATGATTTTCTAAATTTAAACATGTTTCATGGCTGACCCTCTTTTTAACCAGAATGTCCTGTTAGAAATGCCAAGGCTTCAAATGTTTTTCTTAATCCACTTCTGTAAATTGTCCCTGTAAAGTGCAACAAATCCTCATGTTTGAGGTTTGCTAAAACCCACTCTTTAAAAATGAAAAGTTACATATTTTTGAAAAATATCTGTGGACTTCAGGCTGGGTTTACCAAAAAAAAGGGAAGTCAGAATGTAAACCTCAGAAACTTTGGATTTCCACTTGATTTTACAGAGAAGTTCAGTGAATTTGAACACTGGGTCTGCCTAGAATCTCAGCATTAATAAAATGCTAAATAGAGTTCATGTGGACCTTTATTGATCCAACTTTTATTTTCTCTCTGAAGTACATCTGTTCTGGGGTTACTCTGGCTTTGCGTGAGTACACCTGTAGGAGAGTAACTTAATCAGCTATTATGCTGCAGACCAGGCTGCTCTAATCCATCGCCGCCGCTGCTGCTCTTCATTTCTTTTGACCTATTGACCTACATTGCTGCTACACACATGACACACAGACGCTTCTGAAAACTACAACAGGCACTCTTACTGGGACTTAAAGGCTGCACAGTCTAATCTGACTGCTGTGCAACATACTGGCCCTCATTTAGAGCAGCAGGTGCCTTTTCCTTTGGAGATTGTAGTTCTAAAGACCCGATGAAAGCAATCCAACACTGATGTTTTCTTCTTATGTAGTTAAATTGAGAGGTTATTACCAAAAGATCACACACCCCTGTTCTCTGCTGGACATCGGGGCGGGGGGGCTGGGAGGAGGTGTTGGCCGTCCGATTGGGATCTGGGATGCGGGGCCTCCCCGCTGCTGCGGAGCCTGGGGCGGTCTGCTTGCCTCCACCCCGGGGGAAAAGGTAACATCTCCTGGGTCTAGGTGCCGTTTCCCCCTCCAGGGGTGAGGGTACCTGGACCTGGGGTATAGAGTTTGTTTGGGGAGTGTGATTGTGCGTACAGTGTCCATGTATGTCTATCCCTACGTTGAGTGAGTGCTGAGTATTTGTATATGTGTGCATGAGGGTGGGAATGGATGTTTGTGTCTGTGTGTGCCTGTTTGTCTGTGTTTCTATGTCAGGTTGGGTCTTACACTCCACCTCTCTGGGAACTCCCAGGCCCTCCAAAGGCCTATCTCCCCTCACCACACTCCCTGCGGGTAACTGATGCCCTCAGGGGTTGGTGCGTTGGTGGTTTTTGGTGTCCAGGGCTGGGCGCTCAGGTAAAGAACCAAATGGGACAGGCAAAAAAAAAAGAAAAAAAAAAGAGAGTAACTTAATCAGCTATTATGCTGCAGACCAGGCTGCTCTAATCCATCGCCGCCGCTGCTGCTGCTCTTCATTTCTTTTGACCTATTGACCTACATTGCTGCTACACACATGACACACAGACGCTTCTGAAAACTACAACAGGCACTCTTACTGGGACTTAAAGGCTGCACAGTCTAATCTGACTGCTGTGCAACATACTGGCCCTCATTTAGAGCAGCAGGTGCCTTTTCCTTTGGGGATTGTAGTTCTAAAGACCCGATGAAATCAATCCAACACTGATGTTTTCTTTTTATGTAGTTAAATTGAGAGGTTATTACCAAAAGAGTGAAGTATAAAATATCAAGTGTTATAAGTATTATAACATCCCTTTACAAATGGATTATTACATTTAATCATTATATTTAAAAAAAACAAAAACAGATGACATTTTTAAAAATCCAGTTTACATATTTTTTTAATGCATTCAGCATTAAAAGCTAAAATTTCAGATGTGATATTCAGACTCTTAGTTTTTTCAAAGCCTGTTTGACAGCAGTTACATTGTGGACATCTTGGTTGAGTGTGTACAGACTCTTGGATTTGGGAAGTTTCTCCCACTCTTCCTAGGAGATCATCTCAAGCTTGGTTGGGCTGGATGGGGAGTCTCCTGTCCCTGGAGAAATCGCTGTTGAACATCTAACCTTCAAACTGTGGATATGCTTGGCTGAAATCACCCTAGCAACCATATCTACTAGTTGAGGAATGCCTCCACAGCATGATGCTGCCTCCACCATGCATCACTGCAACGGTGGGCGTATCAAGTAAAGAGCAGTGCCTGGTGTTTTTCCTGGAGTTCTGCCAGCGGGTATAGTTTTTCTTGCATCAGACATGGCAGTATGTTTCCTTGTGTGCTGCTCATGGACCTTACAGCCGCTGTGATGTCACTCATTGGTTTCAGTCTCTAAGCTCCGAAGTATCCGCCATGTTTTGTTGGAGTAGAATTCCACATATTTTGAGGCCCGAGGCTCCAGAAAGATCATAGACTGTATGGAAGCATCACACAGATTAGTGTGATGCTCAGTAACATGCAATTGAAATTTTAGAGAATCACTCATTTAAACTGAAGTATAAACTTTTAGGATGGTAGGGTAGGTATTCTGGACAATGGCCGAGAGGACACCCTAGTTTGCTATTGAGGCTGCAGATGACTAGATGACTAGAACTATTCTACATACATGCATTGACAGCTGTAGGGCCAAACAGGCATTTCGATAATACTTAATAACCCCCTGCTGGCCCTGGGACCATTTTTGTACATTGTAGTTTTTCAGTTACAAGCCATTTGCACTGTGTTGAATAGAATATAGCCAAATTCTCTAAAAAAAAGTTTGGCATAATTTCATTTCAAAATTCAAGTCTGACTTCCTTAAATTAGCTTCAGTGGCTAAGCTAACAATACACATCCTCTTAGAGCCCTAGGGGCCGTTTGCGGCCCCATTGACTTCCATTATAAACGCTATTTTTCACTGCAGAATTATTACCGTTAATGTCTTGGTGATTACTTATGTTTCCGTTTCGTTTTGCAGGACGGGCCTTAGAGTTGTAATTTTTTTATTTGTCCACCGGGTGGCGCCCTTGCTCCACATTTGACCCCGGGCTGGAAAATAGTGGGCTGCTTAAACAGACCTGCGGGAAATGAAGCCTCATTTCCAGCGTGCAGCAGCGGCTTCG